CGAGGGAAGTCGAAGGTTCGATCCTGCTTATGATGCACATGAGACCCTTGTTGCCCATCTTGGCTCAAACTCGTTGTCACCCCAGGTTCCTGCGGACCCTGTCGATGCTTCCTCAGCGGAGGCCCGTGGCGGCAGAGAGCAGTCGGCGGCGGGCGCTGAGCCGTGCTGCGGCGCCGACGCCAGCCGCCCCGCTCGAGGCAGGCCGCAGGCGCACGCGGGCGCTGAGCAGCCCTGGTCGCCGGCTGGATTCAGGAGGGCCGCCGCCAGTGCAGAGGTCCCGCACGCTGGACCAGAGACGCGGGCTGGCCGCGAGGCTGGTGCTGGAGGGCGCCGCCCGACCGCCGCTGCAGAGCTCAGTGGAAGCTTGCTTGCAGCTGTGCCCCAGCGGGCCACACCTGGCCGACCGGGCCGTCGCCGGCCACGGGGCTGCCGAGGTCGTGGCGGAGAGCGAGAGCATCGAGAGCAGCGACGTCGAGGAGCCGCCGGCTGCCGCGCGCTCCCGCAGGCGTCTGGAGACGCGCGGGAAGGCTCGGGTCAGGAAGGCGATCGAGGTGCTGGAGACCACAGATGCGGGCAAGGACGACGTGAAACTGGGCATCAGCTACCTCGAGAAGAGGTCGGTGGGCGCAGGCACCTTGGAGACCTACCGCCAGTGCGTGCTCAAATTCTGCGTCTGGGCCCGCTGCTGCCTCACAGCCCTGCCCGAGCTCAAGGGGCTGGACGGCCAGCTGGTCGAATATATGAACGAAGAGTTTTTGAAGGGCGTCAAGGCCTGGCGGGGCGAGAAGCTGCTCGCTGGGCTGATGTTCTTCCACCCGGACTTCGGCCGCCTGGGCGGTTTGCATCTCCCGAGGTCTTTGCGCTGCCTGAAAGGGTGGAAGAAACTTTCACCATCTCGATCGCGGAAGCCCTTGGTGTTCGCGATCTGGGCGGCGCTGGCAGTGGAACTCTGCCGCTTGGGGGCGCCTCTGGTAGGCGCAATGGTGTTAATCATGGTGGAGTGCTACCTTCGGCCGGGGGAGATGCTGAGCCTCACGAGCGACTCATTTCTGGCACCGACGGAGCATGCAGTACAGAACTGGGTCGTATGGCTGTCTCCAGGAGCTGGGGTGGCTCGGAGCAAGGTGGGGTCAGCAGACGATACCATCCCTTGCGACTCAGGACGGTGCCCGTGGATGTGTCGCATCTTCAAAGCTCTGAAGGACCGCCAGTCATCCCGGCCCCTCCTGGATTTGAGCTACCCGCAGTTCCTGTGCCTCTTCCGGAGAGCGGCCGCGAACATCGGAGTCGACGTCGCCCCATGCCAAGGCCGTCGCAGCGGAGCATCGCTGGATCGGGCCGCGGGGCGACGCTCTCTGGAAGAGGTTCAGCAAAGAGGGCGATGGGCTGCGATGAGTTTGGTGAAAAGATACGAAAAGTCAGGACGACTGAACGAGAGCTGGGAGAAGCTGAGCGACGCCTCCAAGGCACGCTGTGCTGCAGCGGCCAACCTGCTGCAAGAGGTATTGCCGCTGGGACGCCCCGCGCTTGTGCCGCCGTTCGGCGGCCGAGAGGGCTGTCGCGGGCTCCGCTGAGCTCGCAGCTGGCCGCTGCTTCCGCACCGTATCTGCTGGATCTTTTCTCTGGTGGAGGCGGGGTTGGAGACTTCGCCAAGCGACTTGGCTTCAACTCAGTTTCTTTGGACCTGCGAAATGGGGGAGATCAGGATGTGTGCAGCGCCAATAATCTAGATGCGATTCTTGCCCACTTCAAGGCCGGGCTCATCAGAGCTGTCATGTTGGCACCTCCCTGTTCTTCTTTCTCTCTCGTTCGTAACAGGTATCCTGTCAGAAGTGCGCAATATCCAGAGGGTCTGCCATCCCTGCGTCCAACCGACCAGACCGCAGTCAGCATAGGTAACCTCTGTAAGCGTGTGGCCGTGTGCATCGTTCGGTGATGCCATGTCTTCGGAGTCCCGTTCGCGTTGGAGAGCCCTCAGACCTCTTACATGTGGCGATGCCAAGATATCATGAAGTATGTTTTGAGCTGTAGCCGTACTCTGGATTTGCACCAGTGCGCCTTCGGATCCAGGTGGCGAAAGGCGACCAAGCTGGCCCTGGGATGCGTCACGGAAGCAGGGGACTTCGCCCTTGCCTACCCGGGGGCCGTAGGTTGCCGAGGCAAACACGGATACTGCTCCTGCAGGCCTGGCCATAAGCATGACTTTGAGAGCCGCTGCGTACCCTTCTCGCTTCGCTCGGTGGCTGTGCACTGTCTTGCTCGACCTGTGAACAAAGGTGATCTGTGTGTGGCAGTCGTATTTTTTCACATACTGAGGTTGACGCCTTCCCCGACGCCGGTGAATGGTCTATACCGCTACGCTGAGAACTTCGGCTTTGCGAATATGTTGGAGTGGTTTCGCCGTTTGCACGACTCGATAACCTGGTCGCGACCATATGGTATCAGAGTTCACCACTGAAAAGACGTCAGACATGGGTGTGCGTCGCACGTGATTGTTTTGAGGTTCTTTACATGTTGCAGCCCTCCAGCAGCCCCCATATCGCTGCTGGGGCTCAAGCTTTCCCACCCTCAGCCACCCTGGACCTGCCCTATATAGCGCACGCCCCTTTTTAACCTTCTTCACTCCTTCCTCTCGTGCAAAGTGGTTTCGCCGTTTGCACGACTCGATAACCTGGTCGCGACCATATGGTATCAGAGTTCACCACTGAAAAGACGTCAGAGCATCTCCGGGCCCCCCTAGAGGACCTCTTGGAGGCCTCTTGGGCCGTCTTGGAGGCCTCTTAGGGTGCCTCTTGGTCCATCTTGGGCCGTCTTGGAGGCTTCTTCGGCGAACTTGGAGGCATCTTGAAGTCTCTTGGCCCATCTTGGCGGCCATCTTGGACCATCTTCGGTGAACTTGAGGGCCATCTTGGCTGTCTTTTGGGCCATCTTGGAGCCATCTGGAGCAGGAGAAACCCTTGCAACCGGGTCGAATGCAGCCTTCCGGGTCGCCGGCGGCATCGGCCGAAGCCCCAGGAGGAGCTCTTTTGGAAAAAAACCAAAACCAAGCCGTAAGACGTTAAGTACGCTGGGCACCCGTGTGGCAAGACCACAGGGGGCGGCGGATAACGGAACGAACGAGGTACGAGTGATGACGTTCTGGTGTGGGCGAAGCCCTAAAGCGAGGGGTTCCAGGCAGGGGAGGGGGGTAGGGGGAACATTTGCGTGTTAATGGCAGTTTTGGGGGTTTTCCCTTGGGTTTTTGCATGTTTTTTGGGTTCCCCCCCAGGACGGCCCAAGAGCGCTCCAGGAGAGCCCAAGACCGCCCAAGACGGCCCAAGAGGCCCCCAAGAGGCCCCCAAGAGGCGCCCAAGGGGCGTCCCAAGAGGGCCCCCAGAGGCCAAAATCATCGATTTTTTAAAGAAAGCGGATATGTTTAGCATCTGCACTTTGTCGGCTTTCACGGCGTTGACGACGGCCCAAGAGGCCCCCAACACCGCCCCAAGACGGCCCAAGAGGCTCCCAAGAGGCCCCCAAAACGGCCCAAGAGGGCCCCAAGACGGCCCAAGAGGGCCCCAAGACGGCCCAAGAGGCGCTCAAGACGGCCCAAGAGGGCCCCAAGACGACCCCAAGAGGGGGACCACGAACCGAAAAGTCCAGCCTATGGCCCCAAGACGCTCCCAGGAGGCCCCCACAGCCCCCCAAGAAGCCCCAAGAGGCCTCCAAGAGGCGTCCCAAGAGGCCACCAGGAGGCGAACATCATTGATTTCCTATTGGAAAATGTACATTTTTAGCATACAAGGATTTTCGGCTTTCACTGCGTTGGAGACGCTCCAAGAGGCCCCCAAGACCGCCCCAAGACGGCCCAAGAGGCTCCCAAGAGGCCCCCAAAACGGCCCAAGAGGGCGCCAAGGCGGCTCAAGAGGCGCCCAAGACGGCCCAAGAGGGCCCCAAGACGGCCCCAAGAGGGGGACCACGAACCGAAAAGTCTCTTTCGCCCCAAGAAGCTCCCAGGAGGCCCCCAGAGCCCGCCAAGAAGCCCCAAGAGGCCCCCAAGAGGTTCCCAAGAGGCCTCCAAAAGGGCCCGACAAGGGCCCAATAGGACTCCCAAGAAGGCCCAGAGACGCCACATAGAGAGCGATCGGTAACGCAAAAAGCTCTTCACACCAAGGCTCCCAAGAGCGAACGGTGACGTAAACAAGCTGATGAGACCAAGGCTCCCAGCAGAGAGCGGTGACGTAACAAGTTCCTGACACCAAGGCCCAGCCAAGGCTCAGGAACGGGCGGCAACGCAACAATCTCTGAACACCAAGGCTCCCAAGAGCGAGGGGTGACGTAACAAGCTCTCAACGCCAAGGCTCCCACTACGAACGGTGGTGTGAGTAATTTCGGTTTCTGTTTCTGAAGTGCTCTTTCCGTTTCTGTGCCGGGCCAGGTGTAATGGCCTTCGGTCCATCCCGCCACCGTGCCTGGGTTGCGGAACAGAGCTGTCAGGGATGCCTCTTTGGGTCTCGTCGGAGCGCTCTCGGGAGCCTCTTGGGAGCAGTTTGGGTGCATTTCAGGACTTCTTGGGGGCTTTCTTGGGGGCTTTCTTGGGTGCCTCTTGGGGGCCTCTTGGTGCCTCCTGGGCCGCCCCTTTGGGCCGATCTGTTCGGACTCCCCATCTGGGCCTCGTCTTGGGGCCATCTCTGGGCCCTCTAAGGCAGTCTTAGGCGCCTCTTTGGCCGTCTTGGGGCCCACTTGGGCCCTCTTGGACCCCACTTTGGGGCCTCTGAGGCCGTCTTAGGGCGATCTCGGGGCCTCGTGGGCCGTCTTGGAGCATCGTGACTCCGACGTACGCAGCGACCCACCCACCGACCAAACCAACTTGCAAGACACTGGCAGCGACGAGGAGGGCACGCAGCCCGACAGCACGCGGAATGACGACCTGGAGTTGTGGTCTGACTTCATCCGCAGAAGCACGAGGAGGGCGGAGTCACTCATGCTCATGCACAACATACCATATGTATTGCACATTCATCGTAGAATGTTGTGGCGATGGGCGAATACCGTGGCTCACCACCCCACGACACGCTGGACCCAGAGAGCGCTTGAATGGAACCCGCATCTTAATGTACGTCAGCGTGGACGACGGCGACGCGGGGGACAGCCAAAGCGGTGGGACGACGATATCAGGAGCTTCTTGCACAGTTTGGACAGCGACGCAGGAGAGGAACAGAGCAGGGCAGCCACCCAACCTAGACGTTACGAGCACAATAACACGAACGAGCTACGATGGATCCAGGCCGCTGTGTGCACAGAGTGGTGGTCATCGTATGAGCGGGCACACGTTTGAATAGAAAATAGAAGGTCTTCCCGTCGAGGCCACGGCCTCCACGCCATACCTTAATGGGCACGGGCGAGCTCCCCAGAGGAGGACGCACGACTCCGGCGTTCGTTCGTTCCTTCGTTGGAGCGTCGGGAAGCCGAACAAGCGAGAACGCCTAAATCCTTCAAACACCAACGGAACATCATTGAGGCCCTCTTGGGAGGCATTTTGGGGCGTCTTGGAGGCCTCTTGAGCCGTCGGGGGCCATCTTGAGCGTCTGGGAGCGATCGTTAGGCGACTCGGGCCCTCACGGACTGCCTTGAGTGCCTCTTGAAGCCCTCTTGGCCCGTCTTGGGGCCCTCTTGGTTTCGAAAAAGTCATGCGTGGAAACGCGGCAAGCCCCCGACAAGCCGCGGCAAGCCCCGAACAAATGAGAATTAGCCTTGCGAAGAATCCAACCATCTGCATTTGTGAATACCGCAATTGTGAGTACGATCTGATATGAAACTCCCTATGGGGCAACGCTCGCATGCGGGATGTGCCGCTGGGGCCTTCGGTGGAGCTCCCTTTGGAGCCAGGGAAAAAAGTATGAGGGGCGTGCCAAAACGGGAGTGTCGCCCAGTCGAACGGTGCCATTGGGGCCTTGGCTGGAGCTCGTTGTGGGGCCACGAAACGTGTGAGGGGTGTGCCGGGAAAGTAAAAAGTCGCCCACATGCGGGCTGCGCCACTGGGCCCAAGGTGGAGCTCCCTGTGGGGCCAGGAACTGTGCGAACGGTGTGCCGAAACGGGGGTGTCGCCCACATGCGAACGGTGCCACTTGGGCCTTAGCTGGAGCTCCCTATGAGGCCACGAAACGTGTGAGGGGCGTGCCGAAACGGGAGTGACGCAAACATGCGAACGGTGCCACTGGGGCCTTGGCTGGAGCTCCCTGTGGGGCTTCGAAACGTGTGAGGGGTGTGGCGAAACGGGGATGACGCCCACAAGCGAACGGTGTCGCTGGGGCTGTAGGTGGAGCTGCCTATGAAACGTGTGAGGGGTGTGGCGAAACAGGGGCGACGCCCTCATGCGAACGGTGAGGGGTGTGCCGAAACGGGGGTGACGCCCGCATGCGAACGGTGCCACTGGGGCCTTAGCTGGAGTTCCCTATGAAGCCACGTAATGTGTGAGTGGTGTGCCGAAAAAGGGGGTAACGCCCACACGCGAACGGTGCCACCTGGGCCGAATCGGGAGCTCCTTATGGGGCCACGACGCGTGTGAGGTTTGTGCCGAAACGGGGGCGACGCCCACATGCGGGATGTGCCGCTGGGGCCGTAGGTGCAGCTCCCTATGGGGCCACGAAACGTGTGACGGGTGTGCAGAGTCGGGGGCGACGCCCACATACGAACGGTGCCACTGGGGCCTTAGCTGGAGTTCCCTATGCGGCCACGTAGCGTGTAAGGGGTGTGCCGAAAAAGGGGGTGACGAAC